CACTGCTACCTTTGAGTAGGCACTGCTTGGGCAGGAATTTTAAATGGGTAGTATATGGTTCAAAGGTACTTGGTAAAAAACACCACACTTTAGTACTGAAATGACTAGCAAATCAGTGAAAAATTGGAGCGATCACCTTGCGTAGCTTCGTCCAGGATCCTTATGGAATGGACTACATTACTTTTCGAACCTTCATCAAACACTTCAAGGCGCGCTGATTGGATCACTGAAGCCATGGAATGTGCCAGTGTTTCACTAGCCTATTTTCAGGCTAGCCCACATGCATGTGTTGGGCTGTCAACTCACATCTAAACGCATCATTTTGCTTGGTTGACACGGCCCATAGTAGGTACATGTAGGTATAACACGCAGTAGATTTGGATGATTTTGGTTCAGTCTAGATCAATGCCGATGAGTGCTGAGTTCCATCCGCTCTTAATTGGATTGTTTTGATTGATCGAGGGAACATTGCAGTTAAAACGATGATGGGGAAAAAAACCAGTTTTTCCATGAAATCAAATCAATCCAATGACCACTGTATTCCCACATATTCCAACTATAACATAAAAATGCAGTGTTTTGCTGCTGATCTCCCCAAACAGGATGCATTCCTCCCGCCACGAAGTCTTGAGGCGGTACAGATGATGCGGCAAGCCGCGCGGTTGAAGCTTTGGCATCGCTGCTGCGGTCGGTTCTCCCAATCCACTGCTGGACCTTGATTTGGGGGTTTCCAGAAATGGAGGTACCCCCATAGCTGGATGGTTTATTTATGATGGAAAATACTGGGGCTATTTTAGATATTTTAGGAAACCTCCATATAATATATATAATGGATGGTCTCTTACCACGAGTCGTGAAACACTGCAAGCGCCCAAGCATTGGGTGCTACCACACCATCCTCTTGGAGACAGATTTTTTCGTTGGATTCCCGCTGCAAAGGCATTGGAGTAGCTGGCAATGTGGCAGGCGAAAGGGTGGTCCATTTTCTTTCCAAGTCTATTGACTTGTCGGAGGATGGTGATGGAAAAATCTAAGTCTGCAATCTCCAGCACCATCAATGTTTGATGCTTGAAAGCTCTAAATTAATCTAAATTAGGTGTTTGTTGAACTCGCGTCCCGCGTGATTTTCTTGAACGATCAAGATCTCAGATGAGTTTGTCTGAAGATAGGTTCCAAATCTGCTTTGAAAATCATGATGTTCATCATCTTCCCAATTCAAATTGCCTAGAAAATTGGAGGTGTAATGATAATGTGGGAACCCCCGGCTGTCATAGATCCTCACCACGTCATCATTTTTTATATTTTTTTTGGCGGGCTGCCAGGCCACATGGCCCAAGCGGGCGAAGCTGGTCAGGACTGCAGAAACCAGGGGTCAAGCCTTTCCAAACACTTTGACCTATTGGAAATCTCTGAAATATCATGAAATATCATGAAAAATCGCTGGTAAAGACCAGTGGAGAATAGTGAAGAGAAACTCAAGATTTTGAGGGGAATCAACAGGGACCAGCAGGAAGATTTCAATCAAAGTAATTCAGAAGCCAACCTGCGTGATAAAAGGCAGAAACTGGCTGGGAACCATGATGCGGGGAAGTGGTTTTATTATGTTTAATTTGTGACAACATATGACCAACAATGAAGTTCACCACTTATGACGGGGCTTTGGGGCCAGGAGAGCCATTCAGCTCAGAAACCGGCGGCTCTGTTTGTGTACTATGTGCAGCTTGGCGACCGTGTTTCGGTGGTCGGTTCTAATCCATAAAGTGTATAGGGACTGAAGTGGGTCAATGGCCAGCGACTTCGGCATTTTCATGTAAGCATGTGCGGAATTTTCATATGTACTGTATACTGTATGTGTACAGATGCACATCAGACATGTCAATGTACAGTGCATCCGAACGGCCTTCCAAAGCGATTCCAAGGCCTCCGCATCCATACACGGTGAGCGACTTCCAGGTGGCGACTAAGGGGCAAGGGTCAAAACACGGCTGATTTGTTCCCCCTGATCCAGGAGGGGTTGATAGACTGACCCACTATATAGTTAGGAATCCCCAATGAAATGATGGTGGGATGATGAACACAGAATACACCATGATTGACCATGGTACTTTGGGCAAGGGCCAAGAGATGACATGAAGGGGACCTTGAACACTCATATCTCCTGAGATCACAGGAATGGCGGGATGAACGTCCATTTACCGTACTTTCTTTTGATGTGAAAGCCAAGCTACCAGAATGAAGTGATCCAATGCCATCTACAGTATGTTTGCAGGGGGATGCCAAAGGAACATGCTTTGATTTGCTGCGTCAACTCACGTATTGTACCTGTTTAATCCTGTTTCCGCTGTGAGAGTTGACATTTTTTCACGTTCCACTCGACTTGTTTTCCTGCGATAATGACTAAGAAATCCAGTCCAGTTCGCCATGGAAAGCCTCCCGGTTCCAGTTCCCAGGCCGACAAACGTCGATTGGAGGAGTTCCCTGTGACCTATGCCGGGGGCCAAAACCAAATTGGGTGACCGAAGATGGCCATTGAAGATCAATGGGGATGATGATGATGGACCAGTGGAGACTTGGAGATGGCCGGTGTTTCAACCCACGGGACCAAGCCTGGGATGACCTGAATCACTGAACTGGATGGCGGGGACCATTTACAGGAATATGGCAATGGGTCAAAACCTTTTGTATATATAAAATTATATAAACACATTTAGATACCAGAGGTTATGGGGATGAACATCCATTTATTTACATGGACAAGCTGCCACACTGGCCATAACATGGATCCCCTTTGCAGATTCCGAAGAGATTTTTTGTTGTGACGCTGATTCTGCTGGGACGAGAAGGTCTGGATCTGTCGTTTCGCCCTTTTTTTTTCAGTGCCAGCTACTATCCCATATTTTCTTAGGTATTTTCCCATATTACCCCATATTTTCCTCCTGTATCCCATATTGTCCATGTTTTACTTTGCAAACATCATCCCACATGATTCCATTTTTGCCAACCATTATCCAATCTTTTCCCATAAAAAAATATGAACACCTCCATTTCTTGGGGGCATTTCCCAGCCATCACTGGCGATTCCACATCTTGCTAGGCCGTGATCGAATATCCCAAGCTTCCGGGAGCCTGCAAGGCGACATGGTGTCTCTTGGTTGGTTGCATTTTGATGTGTATTTTGATGGTAGTTTGATATATTTTAATGGGTATACCGCCCCCAAAATAGCAACTTTACTTCGGCTGATATATTTTTTTGTAGTTGATTTGTGATATCTGTGCCTATTTTCAGAGAAAACCATTTGGATGGTCGTTTTGATGGTTGGAATGTTGAGCCTTTGCAGGATTTGCAGCGTGCCAGTGGACAATGGACCGCATTATGTTTTGGACGGTACAGCCAATGAAATTTGGCCGAAGAAAGCAACAAGTGTAGGAACTGGCGCATTTGGACCGGTCATTTCTATCCACGTTTCAGTGTGCAGGTTCAAGTCGAACCTGAGCTGGGCCTGCTGGTGGACATTGTGTACTCCAAGGCGCCAACTTTGCAGCGCCATGGCCAATTTTCTGATTTCTTTGGCAAGTATTTGCTATTGAACACCGCAGCATTGAAGGGAAACACATGCGGTTTACAAATAAAAAACTAATGGGATTTTCGGGAAAAAATCTTAAGATTTTCGGAAACCATGTGGTGCCCAGGACAGGAAGAAGGTGGATCACTTGGTGCCCAGGCCCGTGGGACACGCTGCTGGGTTTAGACATTGTTCACATGGGGGGGTTCTTAAATGGGTGCCAAAAACCCATAGGTTTCATCACTCAAATGGTCCAATGACTTGGATGATTTGGGGGTACCACCATGACTGGATGGAAACCCCCATATCTGTTGATTTCCAAGCACATCGATGACCCCGGTTCTGACGTGCCGCTCGTAAACGGCGCTCCCAAAGAGGCGAGTTGCCGCTTTCAACGCCACTTGGAGTGGAATCTGGGGGTTCTGATGACCCCAACATCCAGCGTTGGTCATTTTTTGAGATCCCCAATTTCAAGAAACTCTAAAAATGGGCTGCTAATATGTTGTAGTATGTCTATATTAAGTACACTTACATATATAATATATATATATTATATATATAATATAAATATATATATATATATTTGTACATATACATACATGGAAGGCTGAGGATGTCCAAAAATTCAGGTTTCCATCAGCTAATATCAGCTACTTATAGAGCCGGGTCGCTGTTTATCACTGAGGATTGCTCCATCAGAAGTTTGGAGGGAGCGAACAAGCTGATCCGCAACTGCAGTTCATCCCTGATCCAGTGCTCTCTTTTTTTTTTCCAACAGGATTCCCTTTTGTTCCGCACCAAAAAAAATGGTTCAAAAACTATGAAGCCCATTTTGGGATGGTTGGACGCATGCTAGAAACGGCCAATTGTATGGGTTCATTGGTACATATTGGTACTATATGTTTGAGCCATGGCATATCACATGCTATTAGCATGCGAGCTCCTTATCTGGCAATTCGTCAGGGATAAGATGCCCTTGGTGATTCATGGGTGTGGGTGTAAATTCAAGGCCGCCCCAAATATGGAGATTTGGTCCTCTTCAACATCAGATCAACTTTGAATCCTCAACCTTCCCTTGCAAGACAACTCCTTGCCCATCTCCTTTCTGTTGAGTGTGGTAAACCCAATCATGAACCTATTCCGGGATGGTTTATACCGATCCTTGGGAATGATGGGGATGGTTTATGGCATTGGTTTACCACCTGGTTTTTTTCTTCACTTCATGTGTTCATTCTCTATCGATCCCGTCCCAGGAGCATGAAGAAGAATTGGGGCCACGCGAGCAAAGGCGCACCTGGAGACCGGAGAGGGCAGAGAAGCGGAAGATCTGGAGATTTGGATGAATTTCGACGATTTTTACCGTGAAAAAGGCGTCATAAGGCGTCCAATTTTTTTGGGGTACGCAGTTTTGACCTCTTTTGACTCAAAGCCATGTGTTTCTGGGTTTAAAACATCTAAATAAAAAAAACTTTGGACCTCTTTGTGACATTGTGCATGGCCTCAAGTTTTAAAGGCCTCTCTTAGCTGCATCCAAATGGCATTTTGACCACCATCAAGCGAGCGTTTGCTGTAAATGTTTGACCAATCCCGACATCAAAAAAGTACGTTGCATATATATTTCTACCAATCCCAACATGGGAAGACCTTTGGCTTAACAATCGCTTTAAACACTGGGCTTTTCATACGCTTATTCCAAATTTTCCTTGGACAGGAATCAGCTTAAGAAGTTTTCCCATCGATAGCTTCGCACCGGGCACTTTCGTGGACCATTTGGCGCTGGTGCACCTTGGCTGCCATGGAGCCACCGATATGGATTGATATGGGACGAAGATGGCAATTTAACCATCAAACATGGTGCTTCAACCATGAAACATGGTGCATTAACCATCATTAACCATCAAAATGGATGCTTTGGTGAATTTCCATAGTAACATTTAGTCTGATTTGGCAGTACCCATATGGGTGCCAATGGATATTTCAAAAAAGGAGGACGCGCAAAAGCCAGTTTTATAAATGCTTTGGTACTTCCTGTCGCTTCACTTCGAACTCATATTATTGGATACCCTCTGATAAGTTGACATCGCTATGGTAAATTGCCCATTTATGTCCATATATATATAACCTATCAAAAAAACGATGATTTTCTGTTGCAATCCGTTGAAACTTCAGGCCGCCTTACTGCTGAGGTCCTACATGAAGAGAGATGGGGAGGCGCCATCATGAAGTTTTCGCATTGGGTTGAGGGAATGGCTGGGGATTGCTGAGGAACCACCAGAAAGCTGTTCAAAGCACTGGGAATTGCTGAGGAACCACCAGTTTTACAGTTTTACATGTTTTTTTTTTTTTAAGGCAGCCACGTAATTAAATGTTTCAGGAGTTGTTTCGAGAGTGGGAAGTCAGTGGTGGACATACCTCAATTCTTTGGATCCTCCGAAACAGATCTGGGACCAGATGATTTTTCTATTTTAGGCCTGTGAAGATATGACGATATACTGTAGCCCCGATTGATAATTAGTTTATAAACCATCCCAGGATCCCAGCATCCCATCCCCCCAATCTTCACCCATATGGTCCCTCTGAAAAAGAATGAAACTCCACTGAGCCCGACAGTTCTAGGGATGGGATTGATGTGGATTCGCCGTTGACCAAAAATGGAACCTGAGGATCCATTTTAACCCCCCCGCTTCGCTGGCAAGGTCTACCAATACTCTGTGAAAGCACCTGCAAGGTGGGTGAAGACACCAGTTGTGCGGATGGCTTGAGAAATTTACAGAGCATCAAAGAAAAACCAATTGAAGACCTGCTACTTGGATTTGATTTCTGGAAACATTTGGCTTTCCATCACCAGTGGCTGCGGTTCCCACAGCTTTCAGTTTGTTTCGCACTATTTGGCCTCCAGTGCACCGTGGACACTCCGCCTTCCCGAAACCCACCCAGTCTCTTTGCATATTTCTTCAATGCGGATGTGTCCAAAGATGGGCGGTTCCAGGACCCCAGTACCCCAACCAACGAACCAGCCAGCCAGCCAAGCACCCAATCAATTTGTCTTTCCCCCAAATTGCAACATCAATGCATCAATGTTGCGCAAGCAACGCTGGCTGCGAAAGTGTTCTTTTTGTATCGACAGGAACTACCTGCTGTTCCACCAGCCACTCCTCGACTGGATTGTGGAACAGATGAATGAGCAGAAAGACACCGACAAATGGGAGGAGACGGCGGGGTTCCACTCGGCATCCTCAGCATCTCCAAGTCCTGGTCAAACTTACCCGCGAGTTTTTGTCGTTGAGGCATTTAAAGGATAGGATCCATTGACATCGACCGAAAGTGCATCATGATTTATTATCAATTTCAGACCAGTTGCAGCATGTTTCACCTCACTCTATGCATTGGCTGCCCAGCGATTGACCCACTCTTCTTCCCAGTGGTCATGGCAAATCTGTGTATGAAGGTGAACATGCATTAGGGTTGGTACTTGAAGGCGATTGAAGTACAATTACCCTTTGTTCTAAGAAATCTAGCGCATTTTAGCGCAGAAATCAGCCAATTGGGTCAATTCTATCTATTTCTTGATGTCTAAGGTGCAGTTCTACCTGCAATTTCCATGAGGACATGAGGAAAATCCCAACAGACGTCACTAGGAGATTTGGCCCCAGCTGCAGCAGGGAGACTATCCCACCTCCTCCTGGATAGCTTTGGGTGCAGGGGACTCCCGGCAGTGGATAGGTGAGCCACGGCAGTTTAAAATTTTCACATGGCAATCTGATTGGAGAAAACGATGATATCCATTGATATCCATTGATATCCCATTTTCAGACAAAGTCAGTTGTCCTAAAGGAAACTGCAGTGGCTGTTGCACCGTCTCGCAGCCACTGCACGTTGGAGGGTCAGCCAGTTCCAGTTGTTGTTTTTATCCTCTGGCAAGTGAAGAGTTTGAAGGAGGAACTAAGTTTGTTTAGTAGCTAAGTCATTATGATCATTTTGTAACGCATGTAAAACATCGAAGTAAATAGGCCATTTTCATCCATGTTCATAGTTCATGCATGTTCATCACATCCAAGGGGTTCAGTTTGCACCATTAGATCTAAGGAGTACACCGACTATGGATCCACTCACTTCTTGAAGCCCTTAGATGAGGCCACTGGAGTGGCAACCGTGGCCACATATTCCCACCACAGCCGGTGTAAGCGGGTTGATCGTTTCTTTCCAAGTTTACTTTGAGATGATGTATATAATTCTAATTCGTCACGAATCATCATCATCAAATATCATCAATATGGAGAGTGGTTTACCAGCTACTAGAATCAAGCCAAACAACAAGAAACTACTTGGAAACTGGAGAGATCTCAAGGGTAGAACAGCACATGCTGCTTTACGTACCTATCATGCTAGAGAGTCAATGATTTTCTCATATCAACCGATTGTGGTGTTCATTGCTGGTTTCTATGGGGAACAATTACTGAAATAATCTGAAATGCCATGGATAATGCATGGCACTTTTACTGAAGAAATGATGATCAACCGCAGGATTTTTGCTGATTTTGGGGAACCATTTTTTGCCTCAGATTGTTGTGGTGGTCTATGACGAGCGACAAATGCCTGATGGCCCCGACATGACGTCGGTGCTGGGGATGTTCGAGGACGCTAACCCCCCAGACAAATCATGATTGACATGAAACGAACGATGAACAGGCCTTGGATATCCTTGGATTAGGTGTATGGTGTGTTATTGGAAATGATGTACCCTCTGGTAAACATACAAAAAACTATGGAAAGATCCACCATTTTTAATGGGAAAATCCACTATTTCTATGGTCATTTTCAATAGCTATTTTGACATAACCAGAGGGTAATGGAAATGATCTCCAGATCTGTGCCCCATTGAAGTAGCTCGTAGGGACGATCGATCGCTTTGAGCTGCGTCAGGACAATCCACCGCCAGCATCCTAAATGAGGAGGGATTTACCCATGGAGGAACTGACATTTGGTACTGTCAATGTTTGACTTCCAATTTATCAAAGACTCCTAGATCTCCTAGCAGAGTCGGAGTTTTTTTCTTTTCTCATGATAGCAACCCCAAACGGCAACGTTGAGGAAACGCTTCTGATCTTTTTGGGGACCCCGTGTTCCGGATTCCACCAGGTGCTACCAGGTTCCAGGTTGCAGGTGCCAACCCCCAAGGCCAGATGGTGCCGTGATGTTGCACCAGACCTTTGTATGAGTGCCTCCACCTGCGGTTGGCTGGTGGCGGCCGAAAATTGGTACAGAATGGTACAGATAATTCGCGTCGGCATGTGTTGCTTCCTGCATTTGGATGTGGCCGATTTTGGGTAGCATGGGATCAGACAGAAACTTTCACTTCTTGTTGAGGGACATTGACATGTGACTTTATGTTGATCGAGGTCCAAAAACCCGAAGCCCTGGATTTCATTGGGGGAAGGGACTTTGTGACCATTCGGGATGTCACCATAGCAGGCGTTGCAGCAGTTGCAGCAGTGCCCATTGTGATGAAAAAGTCTTGGGCCGTGGACCAAAGGGGCCACGGGCGTCGGCGCTGCCGTGGACGCCACTTGGCGTGAAACTTGGAGAAACCCAGAGCAGACTGCTGAGCGAAAAACGACTCCGGGTTGCAATGGGATGGAGCATGAACCATTCGCCACTAGTCACCAGTCACTTTCGGGCCTTTCATGGCTAAAGGGTTTGGTGCCAGAGCCAAACCAATGTTTGAGGTTATGTAATTATGTAAGTTATGCAGTATCAGATCAAACTTGAGCAAGTAGGATCAAGCTATCAACAGCTTGTCATCAAAAACGCGGCGCAAAGGCACGAGGAGAGACTTGACATGAGATGACATGAGATCAATTTGGAAGAATCAGCAATTCCAAGAGTCTGGAACACATCGGAAACTCGGAAACCAACACGTGCCACGATCAAATGACCCAACATGGTTATTTTTCACATAACTATGGAAGCCATGGCCCACAGAAATAGATGATCATAGCTATCATCATGGTTATTTTCCAATACCATTTTGCATCATTTTGCCATAGATCAACCAATATCAACCATCTATGAATGGTGGATTTTCCAATCTTTTCCATAGATGGTTTGCCTTCCATGGGGGATGGTCGTCTCTTTAGCCTGCTTCCTGCCAAGGCGCGCGGCCCGTCCGAACTTCCGGTCCCGGAGATTCGTGTCGCGGATATCGAAACAAGCACTGGAGATGTGAAGCCAAGAGTCGCAGCACTTTGGGATGGTATACTTCATCCTACCCTGTGGTTATGTCAAAATAGCTATTGAAAATGACCATATATAGTGATTATAGTGGATTTTCCCATTAAACATGGTGATTTCCATAGCTATGTTAATTTACCAGAGGGTATTTCATCCTATTTTTGATTAAAAATTGGGGATGGTGGTTGATTTTCTGGCTATTTTGTGAATTGGGTATATTGGGTTTTATCGCTAAAAATTCAAAGGATGTTTCTGCATTCTGTGGAGCCTCGGTTGTGTTCAGACTCACAGTGAGTGATTAAGCAAGGTTTTGCCGCCCACAAACGAGATTCAAATGCGACTGTCATCAAACCAACCAGTGGGCAATTCATCTTGGGTTCACATTGGCAAAGCTGCCGAGTGCCATTTCATACTCGCAGCTCACTGGAGAAGCGAAAGGCCCTGTCTGTATTGTGCACCTCAGATGTAGACTGCTTCAGATTCTCAAGTGGGGGTTCCAAAGTTCAAAGCAGCTGGACATGAATGAACAATAATGAACATATTCTTTCAGGATCTTTCAGGTATATCACCACAACCGACGTGTTACTCTAGCCAGGCTCAATTGCCGAGTTCAGAATTGTGAGATGGATTTGTCCAGATCCAATGGTTTATCATCATCCCTCTTAAAACTGCTATTTGGAGGTATAGCCTACTTTCAGACACACCCAGATGAAGCTTGTAGCTGCGTAGCTTCTATCGTTGGCATCACTTTTGAAGGGTTCAGCAAAATGGCGGACTTCCAGCGATGCTTGTCCCAGGGGTTGCTGGGGTATCTCTGCCCGGGAGACTTGAGCGCCGTGCGCTCTGTGGATTTCGACTCGGCCCAGCAGCTGCTCTTCGAGCGGTACAGCTACTATTCCATGTTGCTATCTGTTCCGCAAGACTGTGAATCTTTGGCTGATCTACAGGCGATAGATGCCAAGCACCATGGAGTGTGGCAGGAAGTCCGAGCGATTTTCAGTTTTTACCCGACTTCTTTGACCCATCTGCCGCCTGGTACGTATTCCGTTGCGAGCTTCATGAGGGCATGTGCAGGAAAGGAAGCGCCGCTCAGACGGCAGGTGATCTTTGAGATTGCAGCCTTGGCAGAAAAGGATCACGGCAATGTATCCTTTAAGAGCTGCAAGTTTGAAGAGGCTCTGGCTAGCTACACCAAAGCCCTGGTTTTGCTGGGTTTGACAGCGAAAAAAGATGATACCACGAGCAAAGGCCTCATTCTTCCCACAGACCCCAAAATTTCGAACTCTCCGCAGAGAAGCTTGGAGCTTTCCATGGCCCTGCTGAGCAATCGCAGTTTGTGTTTCCTGAAGCTGGGCCGCACCCTTGATGCCATTGCGGATGCCGAAAAGGCCGTGGAAAGGATGCAATTTGACGCGGGAAGGCCCGTCAACCTGTCGGCCTACACAAAGGCAACGCATCGATTGGCTAGTGCCCTGGTGCGGGCCGGTCGGTTTAAGGAGTCGTTGCTCCACCTTGATGCCATTGACAAGGTGAACGGGAGCCGCACTGCGACCATTGAGCTCCGGGGAGTCATCAAAAGCTTGCGCCAGCAGCTTGGTCATATGAGTTTCACATTTGATGATGGCTATCCACCGCATTCCAATGTGTTTGAGTATTGCAGGCATTCTATACAATATATACAATACTTTGGGGATATTTGGGGATGATTATCCAGAATCAGTCAAACAGAAAGAGTGGTTGTTGCATTGAAAGATTCCGGAGGAAGGACATCACGCAATACGGATAGGAAAGTAATGGAAAGTAAAGCTTAACAAAAAAACAAGAAGTAAGATAGTGACAACTTAATGTAACTAAACATTGTATTACCATAAACCTTGTCTTGCACCATGCTGGGCTGTCAGGAATTGCTCAGCAGGAAGCTCTGGGTACTCAACATTGATCGAGCACTTGCAGGCTGGAGATGTAGCAGTGACGTCGTTTAGTGAAGGGTGAAGAACATTTTTGGATATTCCTGACTGTCGAAGATCTGTGGACGCAAGCTTTCTCCCTCTCAATTAAACGTGTCTATCTCAACTTGCTTGGTCTGAAACCGAAGACTTGCCTAACCCCGAACAACTCATTGCTCAACTTTGAAACACTTTAAGATCCTTTCCAATCCAACACTTCAGCCCCCATCAGCCTTTTCCTACAAACTGCGAAGCGCTTCTGGCGAAGTAGTCAGCTGAGATCCTGTCCTGCTCTGGTTTCTCGTTCCACCAAAAAAACATCTTCAAATACTAAATTCAAACAAGCCCCGAAACCATCCTGAACCCCATGTTTTCCACCAGGATACAGAGCTTCCTCAGCCCACCGTTCCTTCTGAACTTTTTCTTGTGGCGAACCCGGGAGATAGAATGCATCCCTTGAGAAAGCATGAAGTGTCCGGATCCTGCAAAAAAACACGAAACCATGATATGAAGCCTTCTCAAAGGGACGTAGCCATCCCGGCCTTAAAAAGTAAAACAAGTTTGCTGAGAGCTTGAGCTAGGCCCTGGGCCGTTGTTCCAAGCCAGCAGTTTAGCCCTGAGCGAACACGGAACCCCGGGGCGAGCACGTTGCAGGATCCATGCTGGTGTTTTTTCTCCCACACGTGTAGGTAGTTGTACTTTCAAGTCCTCCAAATTTGACCTCCCCAGTTTTTCTTCATCGCCCTGACTTGAGCTCAATGGCCACCAGATTCAAAGTGCGAACCCTTGACATAGCATGAGATATATAGCATTACATTACAGTAGCTACAGATATCCGGAAAGCACGGACAAAATTGGTTGTAGGAATACGATGACAGTACAGCATTACAGCCATTTGAGGCTCTGTTTTTAAGCTGTTGCCGGGAGATGGGGGGATGAACATCCATCCTTGGGTTGGGGAATGGTCATCCATTCATTAAGAGGGGGTCAATATACCCACTATTCTATAGGATTGCTGACCGTCACCATCCCTATACATATCATATATATATATGTCATATAGAATCATATACTATATGTATAAATAAACATATATGTATACATCCATATACCATATTTTTGACCAGTGCATATGTGAAGCAAATATATTGTTCATTGAATTGTAGACAGAACTTCAGGAGCTGAAGGTTGGCCTCATGCAAGACCTTTTAGTGGCAGATCCTGAGGAAGCATGGTTTGTCATTCGCGACGCTTGGGCCGCAAAATCTCTGGGCATCCTTTTCGCATGTTTTGATTTCTGGTTCTTTTCCAAAGGTCCTATACTATATATATATAGACTATATATATATATAGACTATATATATATATAGACTATATATATATATATATCATATCCATTCTTCCAAGCTCCCCGACATACTTTGCCATACTTATGCTCCAAAATTCATAGCTACTGTGACTCGGATGATGGTCAGAATAACCAATGAGAAAACTGCCTGTGCCTATGAAGGTACTTCCAAATAGTTCGAACATTTTTAAAGGATGTGTTCTTATTGCATGATTTTACCTCATGACTTTTGTGTGTGTCTTTGGATATTTTTGGGACAACCGGCATCAAAGCCCTGGAGCCCGGGTCAACCAGGAGCATTTCTGCAACTCCCCAATGCTCCTCCTGCTGGACATGCCCGACCTGCGCAAGCGTGTGCGGAAGCTGCCAGGCAAGATGCTGAATTTGATGGCCATGATTCAACGGGCCCAAGATCCATTGAACCCATACACCGGGTTGACATTGACTCGCCACAATGTGACGAAGTTGGAAGGCATGATTGAAAGTGCGTATCTCCAATCTGAGAACGAACGCGCAAGGCGCCAGAGCGTACTGAAGCTAGCGGAGAATGCCAAGTCGGCAAACTTTTCTGCTGAGGCATTTGCAAATGAAATGGGTGTGAGTTTGGAAGATCATCCTGAACAGGAGGAAGTGCATCAGCAGCTGATTTTGTTGATGCGCTTCGTCCTTGCCTATTTGCAACTGGACGACTTCCAATTTGAGGCCGCCAGAGAGACCTTGCATCGTCTGATCTTCCATGTCACAGTTCACCCCAAAGCTCTGAAGTATTTCCCGGATCACATCAATCAAATGAAGAGCCCAGAAAGGCGGGATTTCAAGAATCCTTACCTTGGCTCACAAGAATTGGACATTGTCCCTTTCCCCAAATGGTATTTGGGAGAGTTGCAGCACCTACTTGCTCTCTGTGAATGTGGCCGTGGAGACTGGCGATCCTGTCAACAAGCTATCGAATCCTATTTTGACCTCATTCCCAGAACTTTTCAAGACAGGCAGCGGGGTTTTGCTTGGGCTTTCGGGCATTGCAGACAGCCACAGGCTTCCCCCGAAATCATCTCACAAGAGTAGTTTGAATCGCACCTTGGTTGCCTGGTGTCATGGATATACCCGGATCCCTCTGGTAAAATTGCATGGCTGTGGAACATGATCATTTGAATTCGGTCTAGGTAAATCATCTAGAACTTTTTTTTTGTTTAATAGCTATGTTATATGAGTTTTTCGGGAGCTGTTTCCAGACTGCGTGATTTTCTTGGAAATCTTGGGTTGTGTAGAAGACTTGTGTCACTTGTCGTGGTCTGAGGAAACCAAGTTCTTAGAATCCCATGTGTAAAAAATGGGCAGCCGGGCAGCAATCTGTTGGTTTCCTAGCTTTCAAATCCCTCCCGCCAGATATTGAATCCCACCGTTTAAGGGACCCCAAATGAATAACGTAGATCCAGTACTAAAGCATGCTAAACAAAGATTTCTTGTGGTATTGAATATTGGCGGAATTGATTGGTTGGCCCCCGTTGTCCAAAGGTGACCGGTTTACGAACCATCCGCCATTTTGCAGCTTCAACTGCCTCAAAGGTGACTTGCCACTTAATGTAAACAAGTCCCAGAAAAGGATGGGTTTAAGGGCCAACCTCTTAACCAAGAAAATGGTGGGTTTAACGGGACTTAACCAAGCCAGTTATCGCAGACAGGGGGCCATCATTGCAGGAACTATGAAAGCGCCTTCTTCTTAAAGGCCTGGTCTGAGCTGAAACCTCTACAGCTGCAGCGGCCCAAAGATTTTCCACAACTTCGAGAGCAGCGAAGAAAAGCCCTGCTGAAGCTCATCATGGTTGACATGTGGGGATGTGAATAATCTAGCCAAGCAAAGAAGCGGTGCAGACATGTATTAACATATATATACATATATGTATACATATATAGATATATACATACCACAATGACCCATAGTCATGTCACCATACCAGAACAACCCAAGCAAGCTATCCAAGACCTACAGTAAGGGGTGGCGTAATGGTGAATTTGAACATCAACCATTCAAATAGGAGAACCACTACCAACAACCGTGTGTTTCCGTGATGTTCTTTCCATCCCCAAATGGATCCAAATGGGACATTTACCAAACCCTGTAGCAATAGTATTTTCATGACTTGAAGGTTGCATGGACGCCGTGGTGTTGAATGTTGGTGAGGCAAATCGAAGTTTGGTTGAGGTTTCATGATGCTGATTCTGGTTCAATTTCAACAGATTTCAACATGTTCGCGCAAGTCATGTTGCCAAGGAAGGAGGCGACTCCGATTTGGAAAGCCTTGGAGGCGGCATACAGCGATTGCGCAGGGGCGTTCGACAGCGAGACATGGATGGAGGCACGCTTCTATCATGACCTGCGCTTCAACCCCCTGCCGGAGTCATTTCAAGAGATTCAGAATCATTTGCAGAAGCAGCGGACACAATTTCAAATGCCAAGTTTTGCTGGAGATGATCCTGGGCGTTATTTGGTTTCTTCAAACGGTGGCGTGGATAGTCTGTAGAACTCAGTGTAAAGATATGTAAAGGGACACTCCACGATGTTTCAGGAGCAGCGTGCTGAAGCCTGCTTCTTTCTGATTCTGCACCTCTTATTTATTGCACAAGTTGCACATTTTGTTGGAGCAGATGAAATCATCTATGAACAACTTTAGGTTACCGTTCGCCTTTGCATTGGTGGTTGACGACTACTGATCAAGACATTGCTCAAGTGCTGCTCTAATTGTGGTCCCGATTGACGAGCGTGTTTTCGCGATTAGCTGCTCAACCCCAGAAAGGTTGTCGGTTCGATGTAGCGCATGAGTCTGAAACTATCATGAGGTGAGTTACTGTGTTATGCTTTGATGTTGCTGTCGTTACAAAGATCTCACCATGAAGTTGAAACGGATCACTCACCGAGCAGAATAACTAGTTTTGGGTTCCGTTGCTGCAACATTCCAGAGGGGACGCAATGATGGCCCTTGCCAGTCATAAGTGGCTCAATCAGTAACTGTTTGTTGTGTGTCCCCAGAAAGATAGAAAGGGACACCACCTCCAAAAAAGTATGGCAGTATGGCAATACCCATTTCCTATCCTTTTTTGAACTGATAGCCGTGGTCAAACATCATTGTACTAAGGACTTCCTCGATTGCTTTCAGAATCTGGAGGTTTTCGTTGGTCGTTGCCAAGGAGTCACGGTGCGCTTCCGCATGTCGAATGAAGAGAAGGCACGCGAGGCGCGGCGTGGGCGGGCCCCCAGCAACTTGGGAGCCTTTTCTGGCGCTTGGGCGATGCCAGATGCTTGGCGATGCCGGGGAACACCTTTTAGGTCGTTGGTGATGTGATGCCAGTCAGATGTTTGAGCCGGGGCATGAGGCTTCTTAGTTGAATGGACAGACTTGGCGGAACTTCGAGTTGATTCTGCTCGGCTGTGTTGAAAGAAGACAAAAGAAAATAGGGAAGCTGATTTGTCATCAATGTGTTTGTGTATTCGCAACATCCCACTTTCGAAGCGAAACAATGCATTTATTGGAAAAACGACTTTTGAACACCCTTAGGTCGGAAATGTGGTATTTGACCCAGAAAGACCAACAAAGGCAGTTTCTTTGCAAGTGGATCTATGAAGAAGCACCTCTAAGGATATGGAGAACGAATTGTACGAGATGCAGCAGAACATGTTCGCTTCGGTGCTTGGAGGTTCATTTGGAGGCAGCTTGTTTGGAGGGCCCGCTGCCGCAGAATCAGAGGACGAGGACGAGGACGAGGAAGAGGACGAGGAGGAGGACGAGGAGGACGAGGAAGAAGAAGAGGACAGTCTGCCCCGAGTTTTTCCCAAGATTTGATCCCATGTTGATGAAAGTCACCACTCTGGCGGTCCAAAATTGATAAAATTGCAACTTCTGCTGACAAAAATTGCAAAACAAATGATACCCAAACTGCCTTGACGTACATCCCAATGTATAGCCGGTATATATCAGTATTATGTTCATATTTGGGATGTTCAGCAGGGTGTACGGCTTTGACCCACAATCATTTGGTCTCAAACCAGTTTGTACTGGTAGGGCGCGATGTGGATATTGAGGAACATCGCCTAGGAAAGAATCCTGCGAGCACACTGCAAGATCAAGGAGTAAACAAATCAAGATCAATGGGAGCAACACGAACAAATCTGATTGATCAGTAGAAATGACCGTCCACACTGCACCCCGCTGGGAGTGGGAGCAAACCTTTTCCAATTTATATATATATAAGTTAGCCAACCATGTACATGCCAGGATAGACACAAACTTGTTTGCAGCTTGTATTTCAGATTGGCTATGCTTGGCTTGGTCACACTGACAGTTCCTTCGTCCTTTAACCTTGGGCAACCATCCCACTGCGTAACTTATAAGAGACACAGAAAAGCTGTTGCAGAATGCACATTTTGAACGCGCAGAATGCAGGAGTCTCTTCAGACTACGTGACTACGAGTAACATGGCAGTCTCAGGAAGCTGAGCACCAGGACCTTGTGCTGGTCAAAGACTAGAGGAAGACTTTGGAACACTATTTTGACATATCCAAAAAACAAGATCATGTCAGACGCATTGAAGGTCTGGAGACAGGTGCCACTCCTTGCTAATCCCTTTTATTCTCCCTTTTATTCTGATTGAAAATTTGGGAACGAATCCTGAGATTTCGGTTGGCCATGTCTTCAGACCGACGTCCTGCCTGGGCAGATTTTTTTGAGCGGGCCAACGAGCCAATCCATGGGGGTGATTGCTCGCCTGCGCCATACCCGCCCTTACGTCAAGATATTTTAATAGAGTGATAGGCCCTAACAATCATAGGCCAGATATATTGTTGTTTTTCCTCTTTTAACGGAATAAGCAATGAAATAGAAATTGGTGGAGGGATCTATCACGGTTCAGATTGATTACATTGGCGATAAAAAAGCCTGCGACTGCCCATACAAATTTAATATTGGATATGAACAAAAATAATTCCTAAAACAATATTTTAAATAAATTTAGAATATATTGAAATTATTAAAATCTTATATTGAAATTACGAGGTACACTAACAAATGAATAAATTGTTATTAAAATACCAATAAAAAGATATGAACACACATAAATTAAATAGATTAGTAAACCAATAAATTAACCATATCAATAAAATAGGAAATTAATGAAACTATATAAAAATATATAGTAAAATAACTAATTAGTGAATAAATTTAATTAATTAATGAATTAGACTATTTATATATTGATTAATAAATTAATATATTGATTAATGACGCAATAAAATAGTAATTAAATTAATATATTAATAAATTGATGAATAGATTAATAATTAACTAAAGGAAGGAAGGAAAAAGGAAGGAATAAATAAATCAATTAAACATGATGGATGGATGGATGGATGTTTTTTTGTTTGTGTGTGAACTATATCTTTACTGAACAATTTTTATATTGAGTTTTTTTTCTTGACTATTTATTTTTGAGTAGCCGTTTATCTGGGCCAATTTTGCTCTGACCTATATTTGGGTGATTTTTGCTCTGACCTGCTTACCAGCTAGGTTTTCTGTAGCTTTTATGATCTAATTTTTCTTTTCGCATAAATATTATAATGCACTTAGCAACCTCCAACTGCAATCCCGCATAGCACAAAAGTAGCACTATGGTCAAGAACCACCTTTTGTGTAGCTATTATAATGCGTATAATGCGCTTTGTAGTTTTTAGTTTCTAGCTGTAATCCCAATATAAGGAGCGTCGTAGTATCATTTATATTTTGCTCCATACAGCCGTGCCAATGTATTTTGTCACAACCGGCTGCAAGGCATAGTAGGAGTGTCATACTGAATCGACTAACATTCGTGTAGCGCTGACAATGAGAACTAGACAACACAAATCCGGCGCCGTTCCGATACTTTAATCTTTAACGATTTTTATGAGAAATGGAGCTCTCACTACAATTTGGTGTATATGTTTGCCGACCTTATCTTCCAAAAGTGCTCCGAACATGATCATTTTTGATGATTTTTATCTGAAATCGAGCGCTCGGTACAAAAATGATCCGTTCCTGTTAACTTTACGATTTTAAAGTGCAAACCGACCTTTCGCCATAATCCTGTACATTTTTTGTGGACGACTTTCCCAGATCGAGCCCTTAAACCGCGGAAAGACAAATCCTCCTTCAGCGATGATAAAATAAGGGATCAAATTTCCCACCCCATGGTCTTTTACACTCACTGAACATTTTTAATCAGGAATTAAATACCCCTGCTTGTAACTATTACAATCATTGAAGATCTTTACCAGTAGTACCGCACAAGGCGATGGCGGAAGTTTCAAAGATAGGACACTATAGGAGAGGCGAGTTGTTGTGATGTAACGATGGCAGAACGAATCCACTGATGGACCGAAAGGTGGTTGGAGTTGTGCTTCTTGGAGTGGTTGCAGTGGGCACCTCAACCACAACTGCTGGATGTAGTGTGGTGTAGTGTGGTGTAGTGTAGTGCAATGTAATTGTAGTTGCAGTTGCAGTTGTAATGTAGTTGTAGTTGTAGCTGTAGTTGATGTTGTGGTAGTTGTAATTGTAATGTGTAATGTAGTGGTAGTTGTAGCGTACTGTAGCGTAGTGTAGTGGTGGTGAAGTGCAGTGGAATGTAGTGGTAGTGTAATGTAGTGGAGTTGTAGTTGTATTGTAGTGCAGTTGTAGCTGTAGCTGTAGTTGATGTTGTTGTAGTTCCAATGTTGTAGTCGAGTAGTTGTAGTAGTTGTAGTAGTTGCAGTGGTTGTAGTAGTTGTAGTGCTAGTAGTAGTAGCAGTAGCAGTAGCAGCAGCAGTAGCAGCAGCAGCAGCAGTGGCAGTGGCAGTGGCAGTGGTAGTGGGAGTGGGAGTGGGAGTGGTCGTGGTGGTGGTGGTGGTGGTAGTGGTAGTGGTAGTGGTAGTCGTAGTAGTAGTAGTAGTAGCAGTAGGAGTAGTAGTAGTAGTAGCAGCAGGAGTAGTAGTAGTAGTAGTAGTAGAAGTAGTAGTAGTAGTAGTGGTAGTAGTGGTAGTGGTGGTAGTAGTGGTAGTAGTGGTAGTAGTAGTAGTAGTAGCAGTGGTGGTAGCAGTGGTAGTAGTGGTAGTAGTGGTAGTAGTGGTAATAGTGGTAGTCGTGGAAGTTGTAGTGGTAGTGGTGGTGGTAGTGGTGGTGGTGGTACGGGTGGTGGTGGTGGTGGTAGTTGTAGTAGTAGTGGTAATAGTAATGGTAATAGAAGTGGTGGTAGAAGTGGTAGTAGAAGTGGTAGTAGAAGTGGTAGTAGAAATGGTAGTAGAAGTGGTAGTAGAAGTGGTAGAAGTGGTAGTAGAAGTGGTAGTGGTGGTGGTGGTAGTAGTAGTAGTGGTAGTGGTGGTAGTAGTGGTAGTAGTGGTGGTAGTGGTAGTAGTGGTAGTAGTGGTAGTAGTGGTAGTGGTAGTAGTGGTAGTAGTAATAGTGGTGATAGTAGTAATGGTCGTGGTAGTTGTAGTTATAATGAAGGTGGTGGTAGTGGTAGTAGTCGTGGTGGTAATAGGGGTAATAATAATAATAATAATTTTAATAATAATAAAAATAATAATAATAAAAATAATAACACTAGTTTAGTAGTAGTGGTAGCAGCGGTGGTAGTAGTAGTGGTAGTGGTAGTGGTAATGATGGGGGAGGTAATGCGGATAGTAGTGGTGGTAATGCTAATAGTGGTAGTTGTGGTAGTAGTGGTAGTA